GTTGCTCTTTTTTCAGGAAAAAAAGTCCTAATGAAACTAGGCTTGCTCACACTGGAGGTTTTACATTTAACCGCTTAGAGTAGCATGAAATAGGGGCAGCTGGGTGGCTCAGTCGGTTAAGCGTCCAACTTCAGCTCAGGTCACGATCTCACGGCTTATGAGTTTGATCCCTGCATCGGGCTCCGTGCTGACAACTCAGAGCCTGGAGCCCGCTTCGGATTCTGTGTCTCCCTCTTTCTCTGCCCTCCCCCACTCGTGCTCTGTCTCTGTCTCTCAAAAATAAAAACATTAACAAAAATTGTAAAAAGAAAAAAAAAGAGTAGCATGAAATATACCCCTCCCCCCATATGGCAATTTCAAATTGTTTTTAGATGCAAAATAAAACTTACCTCATACTTGCTCAACTCTTGAACTAACTTTTTTTCTTTGACAATAAATTCTTCCTCCACTTGTTTTAATTCTAATGTAAGTTTTTCAGTCTCTGCCAAAAACTCAGTGATCTCTTTTTGTCTAAAATTGGTCTAATCAGAAAGCAAACAAATTGAAGATCTGTCATTTGCCCTGTAGCAGTCAGCCTTACATTTTCAAAACAGCCAAGAATTAATATCTCTTTGCATGATACTTGGCTCTGGTTTCAGGTTATATATTTTCACAGCAACTACTTGAGAGGGAATTTATTTATTTATTTTTCCCTCCAGAGGTTAATTTATTCACCAAACAATACCTATAACCTACATGAGGAAATGGATGATGGGACTGATGGGGGATGGAGGAAGGGCGGAGGGTCAATACCAGCGCTGAGTAATGATGTTTGGTTTCTTTTTTAACAGAGAGCTTCCCTAAAAGTGAACGTCAAACGAGTTTCTGGTTACAGATTTCAAAAGCATATTCTAGAGACAAGTGCGACTTTGTTTGCTAAATTCCTACAGTTCACACACAGCAAATAGGAATTTCTCAAGAAAGTAAATAATTCACTCTAAGCATAAGTCACCAGAAAGGAAAATATCTCTTCATAAGGTTTAATTAAATATTGAAGGAGAATTACTGATATGCAATAATAATACTGGGTCCATACTAATATGGAACAAGAATATTCAAGTTCCTTGAGTTCCTTTACCTCTTGCAATAGTTTGATGCATCTAGATTCAGCAGTCTGTACTTCACCTAAAATTTCTTGTACTTCAGACTCCAGCTTCTTTTTCAAACATGCATGTTTTTTTCGTGAACAAGCAATTTTCCACTGAGTTATGACGCTGGAAATGAGAGCACAAAGAATTCTCGTGAAACTGGCCTAACAGTTTACTGAAAAGATGAAGGAATTCCAAGCAAAACAAATCCTACTATGATCATATAAGACCGTTTGAGCTATTGGCAATGCAGACCACGCACATTAGCTGAAAAAATTAGACAAAGTGATAACTGCTTCAGTGCCGTCGGCTTCACAAGCTTGCTTCGCTGCAACAGCCTGTGTTGGTATGTCCACTAGGACCGCGGACAAACCACACTTGGCCGCTCACCTCCTTTGGGTGAAGGATGGCAATGGGGAAGGTTCAAGGGCGGGCAGAAGTGACCCAGGCAGAAATAGCAGTTAAAACTACCTCATTTCAACCTTCTAGGTTCTCAAATTTTTCTCTCCACCACAATTTTAAAAAGCTGCACTGGAGAATGGGAAAGATGTGCATGTGGAGTCCTACAAATGAGATTAATAACCAGGACAACAACAATATAATACACCTAAGTTTTTGCAAGTACTTCCTAGGTGCCAGGTGGTCCTCTGAATATATAGATCGTCTCACTGGCCATTCACGGTGACTTTGCAGGACGGGTGCTACTATCATTGGCCACTTACTAGGGATGGGAGCAAAGAGAGATTATTAAGTAACGTAGCCTAAGTCACAGAGCTAGTCAGCAACAGAGCAACCAAAGTGGCCTGTCTTCAGAGCCCGTATGTTTAGCCACACTTCTCTGTCACTGCACATAACCTCCCCTACTGGTCCATATAGAGAAGCCTGGTGAGCAAGAGGCACTACACCAATCTTGACAATTTCCTTCTGCGGGGAGCTCACTTGATTGAAATGGAAAACTTTGGTTCCGTTCAAGCCCCCAAATCAAACTAACGAACCGAGAGAACTCACACAATTTAATTTAGGAGAATAATTTCCTTGGACTCTAGCAAGCAACAAGCACTCTGATTTCCTCCCTACTTTGAGGCACTGCACATTAAGATAACATAGACTTACTCATAACACAAATGAAAAGAAAAAAATTTTTTTTTTTTTTTTTTTTTTTACCGTCTCTGACTTTCTCTTTCCCGGTTGTCATTCAGGATTTTTATTTGTCTCCAATATACTTCCTTTGTTGCTCTAAAAACAGGAAGACGTACACTGGGTTTTGCATTTGTGGAAGCTAGTAGACTACACAAAAGACTTTATGTATAATTCTTATGTACAATAAGACTACCATCTAATTGGGAGATAAACCAAACCTCGTGTAACAACGAAAGGTAGTGGTAGACTCGTAGAAGGACAATTATGGTTTTGTGCAAGTGCAAACTGATTTTGCAGAATTGTGGTAAACCCAAGGGAAAGGAAGAATAGATTCTGGGGAGGCAGCTGAGGAAAGGACATCGGAGGTTAATGTTTGACAGAGGGAAGAACACAGATTGCCGGAATGAAGGTGCAATTTCACCATGGGAGGGACGTCATCATTCACAAAGACGTGAAAAAGGTACAACAAGAGTTATGACCAACATAGACTTGCCACAGACAGAGGACACGAAGGGAAGCAACACAGTGACATAGGAGGGGTGAAGGTCAACAAATTGGTGAGGAACTTTGAATTCCTGACTGAGTCCTGGTTTGATGCAATGTATAATTCAGAAAGCCAATAAAGAGTTTTGTACTAGGGGTAAGTAGTAATTAAGGACGGAAGGGTTTCTTGTGAATCTAGGATGGGTGGAAATATGAAGAGTCTAGCATAGGTATTAGAAGCCTTTATTATTTTTATTCCCTCTTTCTCTATGAAGTGCTTCATATGCAGAAATGAAAGTGAAATATGACTTTGTATCTTTTGAAAAATAGAAATATTCAGGGGTGTCTGGGTGACTCAGTTGGTTAAGTGTCCGACTTCGGCTCAGGTCATGATCTCACGGTTTGTGAGTTCGAACCCTGTGTCAGGCTCTGTGCTGATAGCTTAGAGCCTGGAGCCTGCTTCAGATTCTGTGTCTCCCTCTCTCTCTGCCCCTCCCCGACTCGTGTTGTCTCCGTCTCTCAAAAATAAAAACATGAAAAAAATTA